TTCCCCTCAGCGCCTGCCTGCCACCAAACAGCTAATTGGCAGGGCTTACCAAGCAGCTGATCTGCAGATGATTGGTAGGTGCTGGGCACTCACTAACTTTTTTTTCTGTGTGCGCCCATTTCCCTTAGTGCCACCAGTAAGCCAGTGCACTATTGACATGACTAGGTCAATGGAAGAACACTTCAATCCATCTAACTATTGCCACATGGGGAGGTAGATTACCTACATCAACGGTAACTCCCCTACATCAGTGTAGCGAAAGGCTAGGCTATGGGGCTAGACCAGCAACTATGCTGCTGTTCCACTGTAATACCACAAATAGCACTGAAGTAAATATATATATTAATCTAAAAAAAGAGGAGGTAAAAGCGGAGAGTGTAGTTTGAGGGTAGTGGAGCTTAGATCCACCTTCTTTGTTCTTCACCTTTTGCCTGAAACACTGCCATTATACAGGGATGAGAAGATGCATGTGATGTTGTGATGCTTCCCAGGGGAACCTTGCTACCACCTGCCCTTATCCAGGAGAACTGACAGCTTGCACAGACCCATGGGAAGGGTGGAGGCTCCATGCTCGCAGAAGGGGCAAGCCAGAGCACTGTACTATCCATCCACACCCCTCCCCAGCACCAGCCATCAGCGGTAACCAGAGCATTGCCGCATGCTGCTTCAGCGGCAATTTAAAGGGCCCAGGACTCTGGCGGCTGCTGCTGCCGCTGCTGCCACAGTAACAGTGCAGCAGCTGGGAGACATGGACCTCTTTGAATCGCTAGGCTCTGGGGCAACTGTTTAATACACAGCACTTAAATTTGTTTATAGAAAAAGCACAAGTGTATTGAACAAAGACCAGAGAGTCAAATGAGAGCAGGCTGGAGTACCGGAAACAAAGGGTTATCTCTGAAATAGAATCCTAACATGCATGCTAGAACTTAAGCTTAACTAATAAGACATTGCCATGTCTAAAGCAAAGGCTCACCCCAAATCCTTCCAGGATACAATGGTAACTTTTGGCTGCGATCCTCCATTTTGTAATGATTGTGAGGACCGGTATGACAGACTCTCATTAGAAACCTCATGTGACACCCTTTGAACTACTATGTAGATACTAGACTCAGAGGATCCCTGTGCCCTCTGTTAGCTGGCACCAAAAGATCCCTAGGTCACAAATACACCTCCTACTCCTGTTCTCCAAGCCACTTCAATCTGTCCCTACCAACATCTCATTTCTCTGTTGTCCTGACTACAAACTTGAGTACTGCCCCCACCTCAAGTCTCATCCACACACAAAAATCCTTTAACTTGAATGCCCTGGTTCTTTTAACTCAAGCTGGCTGTCAAGTGTTATAGGCCCACGGTTCCCAACCGCCAATCTGCAGACTGGTGGTGAGCTGCAAACCCCTGCTTGCTGGGCCGCAGCACACTGCCAGGCCATTCCCCCAGCTTTTGATTAGCCCTGCCTGTTGGGGTTCCCCATAAGAGAATTCCTGCCCACTTCACCACACAACAACAGGCTGAGTGGGGCGGTGGGCAGCCACGTGTTCTGTGGCTGAACCAGGACCACAGTGAGGCTGTCCCTATCGGGGCAGCCTCCCCATGGTCCTGGTTCTAGCTCTGGCAGCTGCTATGCACCCAGCTCATGGGACCGTGTGAAGAGTGGCTGCGGCGCTCAGGGGGTCGGCTGTGGCCACATGGTGGGCAACTGAGGCCTGCTCCAGTGGGAGAGCTGGGACCTGCCGCAGCCACATGGCATGGGAAGGTGGGACTTGCTGCATGGCGGGGGGGCATGGTGGGAGGGTTGCTCCTACTCCAGTGGGCCTACTCTGGCGGAGGGCCGGGGCTTGCTACATTGCCGGATGGAGCCTGCTATGGCCTCGTGGCGGAGGGCAGGACCTACTGCATCCATGTATCGGGGAGGTCCCTGCTCTGCTGGGGGGAAAAAGGTGGGACCTGCTGTGTGGCAGCGGGGCTGGGACTTGCTCTGCCCGGCGGGTGCCTGTTCTGGCAGACGGGGCTGAATAACTTCATATGGGGCTGGTGCAGGAGTCAGGGTTGTAGTGTATGTGGTAGCTGGGGTACATATTTTGATGAACCACAAACATTTCATTTGCATATTCATTATTTATATAACAAATATGCAAATAAAATGTTGCCAGTCTGCCAAAAGTTTGTGAATGGGTTTGTCAGTCCACAGTATGAAAAAGGTTGGGAATGACAGTTATAGGCTATAGCTAGAATTTGCACAGCTTGTCAGATGGTAACACAACTGTGCTGCAGTGTGGACAGTCTAGCTCCACCTGAATGATGTAATTCCCTTTGTGTGCCAAGAAAGGACAAATAAGTTCTCCCACAACTCACTGGGAAGAAATTCATAGAGCAGTTCAGTTTGCTGCAATGCAGAAATCCATGGGATGGACACCTACATGAAGAAGGGTAGTATGGGCATAGTAGCTCAGTGTTATTTTTGCAGTCTGACCACTCTCACCTGAACAAGGCAATCCCCAGAGAATTAATTCCAGTGTAGATCATTCAAGTTAACTCTGCAGTGAAGACATACTCTGAGACCTCAGAGAGAGGAAAAGAAAATAAAGAAATGTAGATGAACAGCTAATATATATGCAGATAATGTTAATTTCTGGAACTTTGGGTACAGGGGTGCCATAGCACCCACTGGCTTGAAGTGCTTTTCAGTATATACTGTACAAGACTTTGCTTGATTCCATGGATCACAGCACCCCTGTTATAAAAAATTGTTCCATCGCCCCATGTGTGCAGCTTTTGATTTCTAACCATAAAATTGTGCTTGTTGCCATTTTACTGTGCACATGAATTAGTGTAGCGAGACCAAAGTACAAAGAATGAGCCTGGAAAAACTTGAGTGAGTCAAGTGATTCTTAAAGGGTTTGAAGCAGATGTCAGTATTTGTTTTAAACCACAACACGATTCTTAGTGTGCCAATCTCAATTAATTTTGTAATGAAACCCATTTATTAATATGTAATAATTACTAATTTGCTTTACACAGGTTCTGAGTCTGGTTCCAAATGATGGCTTCGCCAAAGTACACTATGGCTTCATCCTCAAGGCAGAAAACAAAATAGCAGAGAGCATTCCATATTTGAAGGTATTACTCCATTAGTTCTTCTCTTTCTTTCATTGAAGATACATTTTACTGGTAGAAAAAATGGGGAAATTGTGATAACACAGGTTTAGCAATGAGCACAATAGTTATAAATAACCATTTATATGATCCCAAAATATATTCATAACTGCACAGATTTATAAACAGAGACTTTGTTATACAACCAAGTTTCATCAAGATTTAAACATACAGTATTACTGTTTCCTCGGTCACTAATGAATGGTCCTGTATGATGGAAAGGTTTCAGTTTCAAGCTGTTTTGAGGCTGGCAGGTTGGAGCCAATCTTGAGATTCATGAGTGTTCCCAAATCTTTGGTTTTCATACTTCTGATTGTTTGGGAGGGAAGTCTATAAAATGAAACCTGTCTTGGAATTTCCAGATTTTCTTTTTTAAAAAATGCCTTTTTTGGAGATTTTATGGAAGAGGAGGAAATTGAAAAAACAATGTTTTCAAGAATTTTTTGGCTGACGTGTTATTCATTCATCCGTAACTTCAGGATAACAAAATATTTTACTTCTATATAGTTATTTACGAATATATTTTACATGCCTATTATTTTACATGCCTATTCCTTGGATTGAATGGTCTGCTTGCTGTAACAGCTACATGAACTGTTTTACTGGTGTTTATTTCATTCTTTCTCTAGGAAGGACTGGAGTCTGGTGACCCTGGCACTGATGATGGACGCTTTTATTTTCATTTAGGTGATGCCCTGCAGAGAGTTGGAAACAAAGAGGTACAAGTTTTGCATGTTTCTTGTTCTAAAAAATGCAATCCTGCAAGGTGCTCTGCACTCTTTTTCCAGTCCAAAAAAAGCATGTAAGCATGGTCTTAACATTGTGAACCTGAGTAATTTCATTGGTTTAACAGCCCAGGATCTGGTGGATCTCAAACTGTAGGACATCAGCAGCAGAAAGTCTGCCTGGAATGTGGGTGCACAGCAGCTGTTAACAAATCTCAGTCTACTGGCAGGGAGGGAGCAGGAAGGGCACACACTGCAAGCCAGTCTGGGCATACCAGTCAGGCAAGTCAAACATGGGAGGGCTAGTCAGGGAACCAGGGAAATTCATAAATTCTCAATACATGAAATTTTTGACTAAAAGGTATCTTGCTACCACTACAGCTGGAACCAACCCTGGAGCTACAGGATCTTTTCCCTCAGGGGCAAAGATAAATGAATACTGTGTATATGTGCAGGTTTAATGCAACACACTTGCTCAGAACTCTGCTGTGGGAGTAGGTCTCTTGCTGCAACAGATGTATAAGTATTACTGGATTTTGGGAAATTTGAACCAGTGCACTGGTTTCCTGTATTTGTTTGTGTAAGATTAGCGGGCAAGCCAGAATCTTAGATCCTCAATATTATGCAAGGATCCTTTCTCCAAGAAATAATGAGCATAAAATATAAGGCAATGAAAACCAAGAGAGCTTTTCCTCTTTTATCTAATTTGGGAAATGGAAAGTTACACATGTAGATTAACCCTCCTTCTTTTGAGAGAAATCAGAAGATATGAGTTTTTTAACTATGAACACTAATGTTGACATGAAAGTAAAGAAAGCTTCATTCATAAGGAATATGGATAGCTGAAAACAGATAAACACTGTCTTGAGAGAGTCATCTTTTTGTATGTTATCAGTGGCATAAAAATATTTCAGAAGCATTGACATTCACATTATTTTCGAAATGCAGACCTCTTGAGTATCTTGTGTCCAAACAGTGTAACAAATTACCATATATATTGATTCATAAGTCGACTTTTTTTGGAAAAAATTCCCACTGGGGACAGGTTTATGAACGGATTCTAAAAAGGCAGAGCAGCAGCGACTGGGACCCAGTCCGAGCCGGGACAAAGCAGTCCTTGCTCGTGCTAAGTCCCAGATGCTGTCACTCTGCCTTTTAAACATAGTTAGAGCCTAGTGGCTCTTACTACATTTGAAAAGCAGAGCTGCTGTGGTCTGGGAACTGACACCCACCCCCACCCCAAACTTACAGAGAAAAAAATGGTAAAATGTCACTGGCCTGTTTATAAGGTTCTAGACAGCTGTACTCTGAAGTCAACTTATAAACAGGTCAATTACTTTTTTTACCATTTTTTTCTGTAAATTTGAGGGGTTGGCTTATAAACGAATGGGTTTAGAGTGTATACGATAGTCTGCTGGTGGCATTTATGTAGTCAATATAAACCAGTGGCTATAATCAGACTTTGGTGATCTTAACTAGAACCAGATCACCAAACATGACAGGCCTTCAGTTATTCAATAAAAATCTTTTAGAACGGTGATTGTAATTTTTCATAGCACAATTACTCTGAAGCTACATTTCCAGATCCAGGTGATAACATGCTAGTCTGAAAAAGTTGGGGGTCTCTCCTGTGGAAGAATAATAAAAAATACTTTTACTGAATTCTTATGGATTTAAAAGTTCATTCACAAGTAAGAATTGGTTGGTCTTCCTTTATATATCTATGTATCTATAAATAGATACGCAAAATTGAAATGCTTTTATGCTCAACGAGGAGAAGATTAAGGATTTGCTCTGGAATAATAAGCTTGCTTGTAAGGCAAGAGCAGGGGTTGGAACTTTTTTTGAGTCAAGACTGTTGACCCGCAGCAAAATCAGGTGGGAGCCTCATACACGTGAGATTCTGTGTGCTCCGGCTCCACGATGGAGTTGCAGGGTGGGCCCGGAGTCTCAGTATATGGATCCAGGCAAACCAGGGTCTGCATCCAGCCCCTGAGCCAGAGAATTAAATTATTGACTATGCTGATGTTTCCTCATGGACAGTTAATTTATGCCAGAGAAAGATCTAATCAATGAACTTCTTGTGGCAGAGGAAATTTAAATTTGTCCCAATGGAAAGTCCCCTGTTAAGCTACATTTCTCTACCTGGCCTTGCCAGACTTGCTGAGCTTACAGATTTAAACAAGAAAAGAGATGGATGCATAAGGAATATATGGAATTGTCATCACAGAAGATAGACATTTATCTATTACAGCTAAATTAAGAATTCAGCTTTGGTAAATTGCAGAGGTAGAATGGAAGAGGCTCTTTCCAACTCAAATAATACTATAAAATGGTACAATAAATAATAAAAACATAAAATCAATGGAAAGGCTTATATAAAGAATAGGTGGAGTAAGTGCTTTTCATGGGGAATATATGGACTAAAAATGTATTAGACTATTAATCAATTGGAAAACATTATTTCTACAGTTACCTTGAATTGTAGAGTGGACAATGCCTAATTTTTCTCTACATTAACAGATGTATTTGAAATAAAAATGCTTTTAATATAAGCTAGCAATAATCCCTACATATAAATAGCACTAGCGATCTCTCTCTACAGTCAGTAGTTGAAACAGGAAATTCATACTCTTGTCACCTGAGCTAGCTTTAGGTGTATTGCACCTGAGTGCAGGCAGTGAGCATTTAAAGTCTATTGATAGCCATAGTTATTACAACCCACAGGCTGAGGAACATATGTTGAAAATCGTCCTGTTTCCATTCCAGATAAGCTTAAGCTATAAAGATATACAGTGTAATACATAACATTTTTATGATCCGTCCTAAAGACACAACTTTAAAAATCTCCTCTGAGAAACTTGCAATATTTTATAGCAGTCAAAAGGAAAAGTTCCAAGGCTGTCCACTGTTGTTGGATTTGTTAACATGGCTTTTCAGTGCTTCGTATATCTACTGGAGTAGCACATTTCGCAGCAATTCTCTTCTTCGTAGATCATCAGATTTTATACACCAGAGAATCAGGCAGCATTTTGAGAGTGAGGGAAACTTAAATGTAGACCTCCAAAGAAATAATTCTCTTTGGTTTCATAGTGCTTGATGATTATTTAAAACGTTTTCTTTGAAATCCGGCATAGCCATTCAAATGTAAAGTGCTTTTTTTCTTTGAAATAAAGAAAAGTAGGCTTGCCAGGTGTCCGGTATTGACCCCAACAATCGGGTATTTTCGCCTCCTGTCTGGTTAAAAAAAAAAAAAAAATTCAGAAAATACTGGACACCTAAAATGTCCGGTATTTTCTGATCTATTCCCGGCCAGGAGGTGAAAATACCGGTGCTTACCTGGTTCCACGGGGAGCTGTCTGGCCCAGAGCAGGGAGACAGGATGGCAGATGGCCGCTGGCAGCCTGTTAGGGCTCAAAAGCGTTTCTTAAAGGGGCCATTCTGATTGCTCAACAACTTTGGTCTCCCCGTTTTTTTTCCCCTTGACAGAATTTTTTCCCTGGTGGAGTTTTTTTTTGGGGGGGAGGGGCGGCTGTTCGGTATTTTTGGTTAAACTATCTGGCAACCCTAAAGAAAAGTCAGAGTTTCCAACCACCAATCTGTGGACAGAACTGCTGACTGTCGTGCCAAGGTGGCGGCCAGAGCTCAAGCTGGCTGTTCGTGGTGGCTCAGCTCCAGAAGCCGTGGGGGCTTTACAACAGTAACCTTTTTTAGGCAGTTTATTATGTTGGCATTACTGCCCGCTGCTGGATGGCATGTCAAATGTGCTCAGTTGGTTGTGTTCATATCTGTAAGAGACAACCAAAAGTGATTGTCCTTTCACTGAAGTGGTAAACACCTTTATTTCCACTGCAAACAATCTTGGGCTTTTGTCCTTTGTACCATGTGTGCAGTGACTGCATACTGCCAGGTATTCATTGTAACTGAAGGGGTAAGGGGGCTATTTTCTATTCTATGTTTATACTGTGTCTAGCACAAAGAGCCTTGCCAGGGCCTTTGTGTTACTTGAACACAAATAACAATTCATACAACATCAAAAAGCAAGCAATGTTCCACTTCCTGGTGAGTTCTCTTTGAGGCAAATCATCTTTTCTTTTCCTTGGATCTGTATGCTAGTGGCATAGAAAGGCAAAATTAACCAGCTGATAAAGGGTGCAAGCCTACAATTCCTTTTTTTATGAATAGTCCCACTGAGGTCAAGCTTGTAGGATCAGGCCAAAGCAAAAGTATGAGAGTTAGGCAGAACTTACTGTAGAGCAAGGCTTTGCAAATTCGAGCACACTGGGTGCAATCAAATGAGTTTCCATAATTGACTCAGTAAATCAAAATGTGCACAGCCACATGAAGCTAGGCAGAGAGAAGGCTGCCAGTCAGCATTCTGCCTTTAGGGGTTACTGCTCCCCTACTGGACAACCAGGACACTGGAACTGAGTCTTCTCTCTGGAGTCATCTGATCTTCCACCTCTGCCTGGACTTCTGCTCCCTAGCTGGCTTAGAGTGGCTGAGTCATGATAGAGGGGCTGAGCCTCCTGCTTGGCCTGTGGAAGCAGCAACTTCTCTGTTCCCCACTCTACAGACAGGGAACTAAGTAAGGCACAGAGCGGAGGATTGCCATGCTCATGGGGAGGAGCAAGGGGTTGAACCCCCACGTGAGCCCCTGAACTATTGGAACAGCCCCACTCTCTGTGTGTTAGTTTCCACCTGTGTTGGTGAATACAGACTGGAAGGTCGCACAACGCTGGTTGATCTGAGCTACCTACGCTATTAGCTTTTTTTCTTAAGTGCTTATTGCAGGCCTAACATAAAGGATTAAATGGTGCTCCTATAGGAAGCCTATTACTTTTCCAAGAGGGAGTGTCATTCAGATGTGTTGAAATGCCCTTTTAAAATTAGTAAATTATTCTTGTCTGATGAAGTTGGGCTGGTGCAAGTTGGTTGTAAACAACTGTGATCTTCTAGGCATACAAATGGTATGAACTTGGGCACCAGAGAGGTCATTTTGCATCAGTCTGGCAGCGCTCTCTCTACAATGTTAATGGACTAAAAGCTCAGCCTTGGTGGACAGCAAAAGAAACTGGTTATACTGAATTGGTGAAGGTAAGTGAGTTTCTCCCTCCTCTCTTTCTTATTCCTTTTAATATGCGTTGGAGTTTATTTTGATCATAAACTAAGTCTAAGGTATTTAAGTGAGACAATCCTAGTCCTTGGAGAAAGTGCAAATGAAGAGCTGCTGACCACAAACCCCAACATCAGCCCTGATATTCACTCCAGGAAGTTTAATTAATAGACTATAAAGCTAATTTCAGATGCTCTACAAAGGATATATAATAGATTGGACTGAAGTGACTGAAATAGATTTAATCAGTAAATACAACATTCATATGATAGGCCATTGAAGTTTAGTAAGTGCAAAATGACAGCAGAACCTCAGTAATTTTTGCCTATAATGGGCACCCCCTATGGATTGCTTAGTTTTCTAATTAGGTAGTAAGGCCTATATCCTACCTCCTTTGTACTAGTGGCTTTGTTGGGAGTTTAAATAGCATCAGGAATTTAAGCTGAGGTCCTAAGTGATGGATACAATTAAGGACAGCAGAATAATACTGTTTAGTTCTTTTAATGTGCTTTACTCATTTACTTGGACAAGTGTGGTTCAATTTTAATCTTTATAATCATGTGCAAAAATGTATTCTAGTATCTCTTGTAATGAATATTGCCTTAAAAGAATACCTCACTGCAGCAGACCGCTATTAAATCTTGAGAAATGGGAAGAAATAGCAATTTTTTGCGTACTTGTGTGTCACAGGGTGTGAATTAGCAACAGTCCACTGTGTAGGCATTTCTATGTAATGCACTATATATTTTCATGATGAAACACTTGTTCCTTCTCAGGCAGCCTTTTATATTATGTTTGTATATACAATTTTACAACTTGTATTATAACCTACTGTGAAAGATTTAGTTTTAAAAGAAAGATAATTGTCCTTTGTAATTTTCCAGTTAAAGAAAAACAACACATTTTCCTGAATATAAAATCTGTATGTATCAACACATGTGCACACACACAATGTATATGAAGAAAAACAAGTAGGACCATATATTGCCTGGCATAAGGGAGGTCAGAACACAGGTTGTCCCATGGAGGAGCTGTGCACTGTGGAAGTCCTCAAAGCAGTGTCCTTTCAGAGCTAGTTCAAGAAAGATGGAGCCGGGCTTCTATTCCATCCACATCCACCAGCAGAAGCACAGAGGGGAAGTGAATACTGCATCCTCACCAAGGACAATGCAGTGGTCATGCTTTCCCAGCACTTTGGGAATTCTAGGAGCTGTTGTGCCTGGCTTTCTGAAGTACAGCGTCTCTCTGAATTCCTCATGGGGTGTGGTGTGGCACCTCCAAAGCATATTTAAGCCCACAGCATATAGCTATGTAACAAATCAGCAAGGAAGTAGAATCCCTGAAGGCACAGAAGTACAATCACAGTGAATGACAGCAGAGAGTAGGAACAATAAGAGGAAGAGCAATAATATAAGGAAGTGAAACAGTAATTGGGACAGATGGATGCCAAGGAAAAACTAGAATTTCTGAAGCCTGATATGAATTACCGTCTGCAATTTCCAAGCTTTTGTTGATTTGGATCCGAAAGCTAAGTATGGACAATATTTTTATACTCACATTATGTCTCACATATTAGTTGTTTATGATATTTATTTTATTTCAGATCTTTCATTTATCTGTTAAACATATTGACCATGGTGGAATGTTAAATATTTTCATTTGTAGTTGTACATGGTTGTAGTTATACACAGAGCTGAGCAATATGGTCCCCGCACCATGTAGCATCACTACAGAGGTAGTCAGGTCAGTCATCTGTCCAAATAACTGTGAAACTTGTCCCTTTAACATTTATTAATTACTGTGAGCAAAATAATGATTAAAAGAAAAAGTTAAATCTGGTCATATGCACAGTACAACAAGGCAATGAGTAATAAAACACTCAGAGGTATTGCAATATTTAGTTCCTCGGCTGTGTTATTGGTTACAGATTGTCATTGCACTTGTACTGTATTACTGGGCTTGATTTATCTGTACATTTCACTTTAATTGGGGAAAGAGGTGTTTTATATTCTTTAAGGTAACCTTCACAATTGCTAGTGTGAGTCCAAAATATAAGTTGAAGGCATCTTCAAAAACAAAAGTTTGTTGTATTCTCTCCCACCTACTACCATTGCCCCCACATGACCCAATACAATAATTTCAATATTTTTAAAAAGCTAAAATTAATTCTAAAAATCTACTGCGATGCAAGCAAAGTGTGCAGTAGCATTTCCAAGATAGTGATAATAAGCTTAATAAAAACAGTTGTTTTATTAACTTAAACATTCTTGTTAGAGAAGAAACAGGCGACCCAGGAGTGGATTGGGTAGAAAGGACTACTTTATTGCTTACGCATGTTTATCTCAGACATTCATCACAATGTCGGGGTGGCAATAACCTGGTGACAATCACACCCTTTTATCTTTTTTAGTATGTTAATTCATATGTCTATCACTACTTTTCCTAAAGCCTTATTTAGTAATGTTAACTCCCATAAAATGAATATTAATAGACAAATAATGAATACAGTTATACCCACCCCTAATTACTGTTTACAGAACTTCCAGTCAAATCAACACATCCCCATACTACAAGATAACAGATTACAGAGATTACAAGGGATTTTGACCCTGAAAATATGTTATGCAGAGCCAATGAAGATAAGCAAAATCCACAACAAAGTCAAGCTGCATGCTTATCTATTTTCCAAGGCTGCCAGGAGAAAGGGGAAAAACATGTTTGAAGGGCAATGGCAATGCCTTTTCTGGCTATACCCCTTACCCACTAATGTAGAGCCATTTCAGACCCCTATTAATTTTTACATCCCCCAACAATTCTGACTTCTGTTTTTTGTTTAAAAGGAAGAAATCAGTGCAATTTCTCTATCCCACACAATAAAAACCCATCTGTACTCATTCTTCACTACTTTGCATCTTTATAGTCATTTAACATCTGTGCAAGAGGGATGTAAATTGCAACCAAACCAAATAGTAGAGTATTACTCTTCCATTGCATAGGGTACATGGCTTGGCTACACAAGGTGCAAGGCAGTGGATAATAAGGCCTGTTCTCCCTCAGAGCTATTCTACATACTATGCTGAATATAATTTTTTTTTTTAAAAACAACGAATAGTCTAGTAGCACTTTAAAGAATAAGAACACATGTAGATAGTATCATGAGCTTTCGTGGGCACAACCCACTTCTTCAGGTCATCTGAAGAAGTGCCCACTGGCTCACACCTCCCCTTATCGACTAATTGTGTTGTTAATACAAATTGTATTGACTACATGATTAGTTAGTTAACCACTTCTTAACATCCTTGCCTTATACCATTCTTTTTGTTTGTATTTTTGTTTAACTTTTACTTTCCAGCTGGTTAGTTCTCATTTAAGATGGACAAGAAGTAAGACATTTTCTGTACCCTGAAGTCATCTTTGCTAGTCCTACATAAGTATCCTCAAGATAACTTTATCCTTTCCTTATAGTATAGATTTGACATCTGGAAAGGATCCCAGTAATACTTTGCCAGCAATGTACTACAGTGAGTGGAAATCATTGCTTAAAGTGGATCATGTACTGTCAATTTTCTCTGACAATGTGGATTTTATTAGTTAAGAATGTCAAGCCATCCTCTAGAGAAAATTAAAGTGCTAGCTATCCTACCACGTGTCTGCAATCCATAATAGGCCTTGAAAGGGCTGCTAGGTGGTTAAATAGAACCTTTTGCTGGTCATTCTGACACCTCAGTTGAAATGGTTTAGAAAACAAAGGATAAAGATTAAAACTTAATTTACAGCTTAATTTCACCATTAAGACAAGTAACTATTTAATATAAAAAAGTTGGTGAAGACTTTAAGGAAAGCCCTGTCTCGCAAAGAGTAAAGGTATTAGACATTTATTTCTGTGACGCTAGTGATGGCTATAGATTAAATAGGCTTTGGAAAAACAGAGTGAGGATTTCTTGGTATGCTCAGTAATATTTTTTCTCTAAAAATCAAGTTCAAGTGAAGAAAAACAGTACCTGAGTGTAGTAAAGTGTTTAGAATTAAAATCTACAGGATAATCAGATGTAAAGCAACAATAAGATGCAATTAGTTTTTTTAGAAGAAGACATTGAGGAAAAATGTGTAGAGATTTATAGAAATCAGCTCTTTTTAAACAAATGCTTATACTCAAGGTGCTAGTCACATCTGGATTCTTGGTTCGAACTAATATTGGATCCACAACTGAAAAGAGGTGTCTGGTCGTACACTGATGTTTGAAATTGTGCTTATAATACAGCCTAGTAATTTTTAACATTTTCCTGGGAAATGCCACGACTTGGAATAACAGCAAGACAGTTGGTCCCAGTCCTGCAAACACTCAGGCTCTTGACTTCAATTGTGCGTAGTTAAAGTTCGGTACACTTGGAAGTAACTTCAAAACCAGGCCCTTCAGGATAAACACTGAGTTGAGTTTAAACTTCTCCAAGTAGTGCTCAGGTTCCTGCATTCACTTTCCTTCTTCAAAGAAACAGATTTGAATATTTATTTGAAATGGAGAATTATCAATTTGCTTTGGAAACATAATCCAAACCAGTTGCGATTGCTTCCACAGAAACTGGTTGGAATACAAAGTCTTAAAAGGAGTGTACAAACACCTGTTGGTTGAATGTTGGCCTGTTTTGCTAGCAAACTTCTAGAAGTGGTAGTGAAGATGATAGACACAATCTGTAATATACACCCATGCTTTTCATGCTAGCAGGAGGAGGGGTGCTGGGGGTCAGTTATTGTCAGGGATTCACAGTGTCTCCTTTTGGGAGGGCAGGATACAGACCTTTTAGCAATAGATCCAAGCAGTGGAAGCAGTGCTTGATATTGATGTCAGGTCAAGCTGCAGTGGTTTCCTTCATCTCTTCCTGCTAGTAGATGATCAGTTATCTATTTTCATCTGGAATAGCTGGCTTTTACAGCTTTGAGCCTGAAATGGGGTTCACTCACCTGCCACCAATGCTCCAGTCTAGCCTTTCAAAGAAACTCTCAGTGGCTGATGCTGTCCATAAACTATTCTGCTTTTGGTTTGCAAAGCTCTTTGATATGCACGTAAGGCAGCTATAGTTATTTAGTACTACACTGTTATCTGTATTCTAAACGCAGCTCTCTTTCATCAGATCTAAGCAGTGCAGTTTTTCTCATCAGATTGGACACTATGGAGGTATACCAGTGGGGAAAAATGAAATCTCCAACGGGCTTGCTAGAGTTTACATCTGATCCTTCTACTTACCCAGCTTTTTGTCAAGGATATTTCCTATCCTCTTAAACTCCTGAATTCTCAAGCAGCAAAAGCCTAAGATATTTTTATCAATATATATCAGGCTATGACACTAAACTTTTTAGCTTCTAGGACTTCTCCTCTTCCCCTCACAGCCAGAAAGAAAAGTGAAGCTGTAGTTTTTGTTGGAAAAGGATTTTTTTTTCCTTGCTGGAGTTAAGTATTCAGCAAGATTGTGGTGAAACCCACATGAGAAAAAAGGCTAGAATGAGCTCAGTAGGCAGCAAAATAATTGCCAACATTGTCTTTTATATTGGAGAGAGAGTAAATCCTAGTCACTGGAAAGAAAAAAGGAGATCTACAAAAGAAAGGGAGTTATAATCCTAACTTTCCTAGATCTTGGCTCCCCTACACAGTTTCTCAGAAAAGAGCTGGTAAGCATCAGTCATTTCATTGTTGAATACTGAGAGAATTCTAGGAATTTTGTTTCTAATGCTCTTTAGATACAATGTGCTGCACAGGTGGTATTGTCACATGGCTCGGTATAAACAGGTTTAGTTTTAATCTAGTTAGCATAGGTAACAATAGCTGTGTAGATATGGTGGCATGGATTTCAGCACAGCCTAGCAAACCAGAGTCCAATTCCTCCAGAACACGTCTTCATTGCAACTGGGAGTATACCTCTCAGCCTGCATAGCCAGACTAGCTTGAGCTAGCCTGTCTGACTCCTGTGTTCGAAGTTGGGTGGTTGGCCAAGCAACCATCTATGCCTCAACATTCACAGTGATATTTTCAGAGTTTTGAGTGACGCTGGTGGGGCCCCCGGGCGCGTGGATGGGGGGGGCGCCCCCGGGCCCCGCCCCCTGGCGCCCGGCGGGCAAACGGCCATGCCCCCTGGTGCCCGACAACCTAAAAAGGTTGGGGACCACTGAGCTAATAGATCTGGCAGGTTTTTTCGCTTGCAAGTTAGAGTGTATCTGGCAGAACCAAAGCTACAGAACAGGGATACGAAGAGGCAGGTGGGTGGATTTTAAGCCCCAGTGGTGCCCCAAATTTTCAGGTGCCTTATGCAGCTGTGTATTCTGCTTACGGTAAGGAAGGCCCTGGATTCACACATTTTAAGGATAGATGGGACCATTTTGATCATCTACTCTGACCTCCTGCATGAACACAGGTCTTAATTTTGCACAGCAATCCTTGCATCAAGCCCATCACATTGAAACAAATGGTGTAGAGACAAACCAGTGAGGGTCCATTTTTCATGTTATTGAATTAAAATATTCCTACAGAAGTTCTTTTGTTTTCAAAAACTGGAGGGAGGAAATGCAATATTGCTCATGCAAAATGTGGTTTAGTGAAACAAGTAAATGGCTGGGAAATAGAAAATAATTTTGTATCATTAGGTCCCGTTGTTACTGTATTCACTTTTAGGAGTGTAAAATTAAAATTGATGGCAACAATTTCGATATTAGTTCTGTAATGTATAAGATTCTATGCAAACAATGTTCTAAGGGAACAGAGAGGAGTGGAGTTTTAAATTTCTCATACTAACTTTTGGAGAATGGTTCAAAGTTTTGAATGCATTCTGGATAAAAAGAGTGACAGATGTTTATGATTTAAACTTGCCCACCATTTTCACGGAGGGTGTGTATGTAATACTTCTGCTGGATTTTCAAGTCAAATATCTTCCTTTTCAATAGCATCAGTGTTCAAATAAAGCTCAGTAGACCTAACTGATGTTCTAACTTGTAATTGCAGAGTTAAGTGGAATGCTTATATTGTTCCCTCAGAGCTGTAAAACTCAGCTGGCACTCAAGTTCCAGATTATGGTAGTGGGCGGGTCTTGAGAGTTTGCTAAGTACTCGTGTACTGAGACTGAAGATCAGTGTATATATATTAACTTGCAATATAAAATGATCTGTTACACAGCCTTAGGCTAATCAGAAAGCAAATTAAAGTGGGGGGTCAGTCTGTGAGTTGGCTAAGAGTTATTGGAATGTTTATGATAGTAAAGTAATTGTTTCTGAAGAACACCACGATGGTTGTTTTTACAGCCTTAACATGCCTTGGTAGAAATTGAAAATAAGGAAAGTTGACAATGATGAATGCTGTTCCTGATGTTAAATTAGAGGGCGGGGGGGAACTAAAGCGAGAACACAAATTCTTAGTACAGGTTGAACCTCTCTTGTCTGGGACTCTCTGGTCTGGCGACATCCATGGTCCGGCAGGATCACGAATATTGCGGGATCAGAGAGCCCCTGGACCAGAGGTTGGCCATGGGGTTGGCCATGGCAGCCCTGGGACAGCAGAGCTGCAGCGGCCCCAAGGAGCAGAGCCGCAGCGGCCCCAAGGAGCAGAGCCCTGGTGGCTCCAGAGTGGTGGATCAACAGCAGCTCCCGATGCCCCAGGGTAGCACAGCAGCAGAAGCCCTGGCACCCCAAAGGAGCGGAGCCCTGGTAGCTCTGGGGAGTGGAGCTCTGGCTCTAATACCCCAAGCCCTGGCAGCACTGGAGCCAGGAAGCTGTGGTGGGGCTGGGATAACAGAGTCCAGCAGCTGTGGGGAGCGGAGCCCTGGGAGCAAGGGAGTTCCACTAGGTCTGCTGATGGACCCTGGGAGAACCCGGACTCCCGTCAGTAGAGGGATGAAATTGACCTCCCCAGGTCTGGCAAACTCCCTCATTCGGGACCAGTCAGGTCCTGAGGGTGCCAGGCCAGGGAGGTCCAACCTGTATAATAATTGTGGTTCTCACTGCAGTCCCTAGAAAAGAACTGGAAGCTTGTTCGTGATGAAGGGCTTGCGGTGATGGATAAAGGAAAAGGGCTCTTCTTACCTGAAGATGAGAACCTGCGAGAAAAGGGAGATTGGAGCCAGTTCACATTGTGGCAGCAAGGTAAGTTACCTATCGATTTACTTTATTGCTTCCTTCTCCTTCCTACAAAACCAATAATATTTTATTACATTGCTGTATCCGTCTTTTGAGCCTGTAGAAGGAAGCCAATAAAATGGCATTTGCACCCAGAGCATAATGAGCAAGAATACTTCATGCTAAATCACATTGCCCGGTAGCACCTGCAGAATCCAGCACTACAAATAACCATCTTTTGGCAAGGTTGCCAAGATTTTGTTCTAGCAAAGTCAATAGTGCACAAGTACAAATCAGCCTGGAGGAAGTAGAGAAGTCGGGAAGGAAAAAAAAAATCTATCTCTAGCCTTTTGTCACCCACCAACTGCAGTTCTGTCATTCAGAAATGATATGAGCTACAGTATGTGTTTTAATAAGCCAGCTGTTCTTTCTCTGAGCTGTGATGCAGGAGGCCTGAATATTGGACCGACCGTAGGGATTTACACATTAGAAAGAACTTTAAGAATATTTCAGTACTAAGGTATTGTTTGTCTTGATAGGAGTAATTTTTACCTTTTCTTGCCATCAAGCCTCATTCATAGGCTTATGACTTATCCCGCAAATGGATGATTTAAAAGCAGAGTGCAATAACTTTATCTGATATTACAAGCCACCTCTCTTTGCTTTCATTTCAGTTTCTGTCTTCTCTTTGCTTCTGTGAAATGGCATCAGTAGTATAGGCACGGCTTCTGTAGAAAGCTCTTTGGAATCTTTGGCTGAAACCTGCTTGTATGAGTGGGAAGTGTAGCAATGCTTGTGTATTAAGTGTTTCACTTGCCAATTTGTTTTGTTAGGAAGAAAAAATGAAAATGCGTGTAAAGGCGTTCCGAAAACATGTGCTTTATTGGAAAGATTCCCTGAGGCTACAGGGTGCCGAAGAGGACAGGTACTTACTGACCTGCTTCATTGCTGCTGCGCAGGAGGGTGGGGTAAGGTGATGCTGAGGAGTACACACAGGGAATGCTTTCTTGAGCAGAGTTCAGTCAGTGGACCAGATCCACTGAGCCTGGTTCTGGGAGTTATAAACTGTATCCACTTGCACCAGCTTGGCTGCATAGGAGCATGAAGATTCGCCTCAAAGCTACTTCCACATGTCCTTCCTTGGGTTTTTGAGGCAGCTTTAAGACTCAGTGCAGGTTGCCAGCAAGGAATGTTGGCAAAGTATGTATCTCATCCCTGTCCAGTGCCTGTTCCACATAGAGGATAACAGCCTACTGCTGCTACCAGTTACTGTATTGTTAAGGATCTAAATGCCCAGACCCAACTGATGACTGGAGTCAGCATGATTCTATAGGATGAAATGTTGGTTTTTCAATGTTTTAACTAGGGACTTACATCCAAAAACTACATTCCAGGGATGATAGGGTTGCAAAATCAAACATTCAACATTTAAAGTACCATAGAAATGTAAGGCTAAAAAGGACCTCAAAAGGTGACCCAGCTGAGGCAGAATTAAGTATACCTAGGCCATCCTGGATAAGTGTTTAACGTGTTATTAAAAACCTCAAATGGCAGGGATTCCACAACCTATTCCAGTGTATTTCAGTGCTTGGCTTCCTTGTAGTTTAGAATTGTTTTCTATTATCTAATGTAAATCTCCTTTGCTGCAGATTAAGCCCATTACTACATTCCCACGTTCAGTGGACGTGGAGAATTCTTGACTACCATCCTCTTTATAACAGTCCTGAAGATATTTGAAGACAGTTATCAGCTCCCTCTCAGTGTTCTTTTCTCAAAACAGATGTATCCCTTTTTAACATTTCCTCATAGGTCAGATTTTTTAAACCTGGTATCATTTTTGTTGCTCTCCTCTGACCTCTCTCCGGTTTGTCCACATCTTTCTGAAAGAGCAGCACCCACAAGTGAACACACTACTCCAGCTGAGGCCTCATCAGTGTGGAGTGGAGCAGGACAGTTATCTCCGCTGTCTTACATAAGACACTCCTATTAATGTACCCGAGAATCATAAAACACTAGAACTGGAAGGGACCTCAAGAGGTCATCAAGTCCAGTCCCCTGTCCTCACAGCAGGACCTAAAACCATCTAGATCACCCTGATAGAATAATTATATTAGCTGTTTGCAGCTATTCAAGCTGTGGAAGGGAGGGGGAAGTAGCAGGCATGGATCATGAATCAGTAGATTGGTGCTCTGAAAGTGCTGGGAGGGAGGAGGAGTAGTTGGAAATGAAGGGCTCCAGTGCCCCAGTGTGTGAGGTGTGTGTGTGGGGGGGGGGGGGGAGAATGGGGGAGATGGGGTGCACAAGCTGTGGGTAGAACCCCAGTGGGCTGCGGTCTGTCCACCACTAGATTTTAATCATGTGGCTACTCAGTAATCTTGGTTGCCTATCACTGTCTTAGAGTACAGGCAGTCCCCGACTTACGTGGATCCGACTTATGTCGGATCCGCACTTACGAATGGGGCTTTTCTC